AAAACAGTTATGTGGTGTATCATTTAATGATCACTTCACTCAACAACCAAGATTCTGGTCTCAGTTATGCTCGCAAGCAAAGAACTACCTGAATAGGCATTTTGTCAGTGTCTGGACTTGACTTTGTCAAGTCCTCTTTAAGTCTGAGTGGAGTTGCATTCCCCAAACAGAGTTGATATGCTGCTTGGAGCTCTTTCTGCACTCACGGTTCATTGCATGCACATTTCTTGATCCACAGTACTTACTCATAGGCATCCTTGGTTTAGTTCCCTTCTGTTTTGATTAATATAACCTGCTCTGCATGGGCCTGCTCTTAAGAACATTTAGAAGCTGCAGTGATCCACATTGTGGCATTAAGAGCAGCTTGAAATGCCCTTCTAAAGCCACTGATTCATGAGCTGAACTAGCTCCCAGTAAGCTTCTGAGTGCAAATCCAAATGGTGGTTATTGCTATAAGAACAAAGTTATTTGTGGAATACCCTTTTTATTGTTTCTGCTAAACCTACCAGATGGAACAGGTTGTCCTACTCAAAGTGTCATTTATTAAGCAGACATTGTTTCTCTGTTCCAGCACCTGGGGAATAGCAACTCCCCCACCTGCAAGATCCAGAGGGCCCTTCTCAACTGTTGGTGTTTTGTAAAGCCTTAAAAGATTTGACTTTTCCCACAAGCATGAACCTTGTTGGTTATTTGCTTATAAACTGTCGGTTGCAAGATTGAAGGGATTGATTTGGACCTCCAATACACTGCATATCAATTGTTATTGTAGATGTTTTTAATTATTCTATTGGCTGTTCCTTTTTCTTTATTACTTTTAGCCTGTCAGAATCATTGCTGCAGGTTGGCAGCCACATTACCTGTATAAATAAATACATAAATCTCTTACAATAAAGATATTATCAGAAGCACAAGAAAAATCTGCAAATAATTAATCATCTGAAACAACTTATTATCACAAATGATGACAAAATCAGTGTTGTGCAGTTCACCCATCATTTAAGCCAGTGGTTCCCAAAGTGGGTGGTACCACCCCCTGGGAGGCGGTGGAATGACTTAGGGAGGTTCTAAGAGGCAAGGGGGGCCGCAGGGGGTGCTAAGAGGCAATGGGGGCCACAGGAGGACGGTAAGGGAATAACCTGAAGGGGATATTCTCCCAGTGGCGTCTCAGGCAACTTTCTCTCTTGCTGCACAAGGAAGCAAAGCCAAATTTGTTTATTTAACCTCCTGCTCCAGCCTCCCCTGCCCTACTACATTAAGATCCCCGCACTTCCCATTTCTGCTGGAAGCACGCAGGCCATGTGAGCGAGCAGGTGCGCGAGGCCCCTCGATGATCTGAGGGGAGCCGGGAGATGCCAAACTGTACTCAGCCATCCTCACTCCCTCGCAGCTAAGGGTGGGAGTGCCTGAGATGCTGCTGGGAGATTGTCCCCTTTGGGTTGCTAGGACAGCAAATTTCAAGGGAAAACGCAGCTGCTGGAATCGGTGCGCCTGCAANATGAGTGGATTACTGAACATTTTAGTCCATGGCTAGTAGCACCTGATTAACAATCTATCATACATGAATTTATGTAATAGGGATGCTTTAATTTGGTTTCCTTTCCCAGACTTAAAGCACTATTTTTGCCCCTTAACCCTGCCATCTCTCCTCATTGGAAAAATTAGGTACCATCATGGTAGACTTGGGAAATTTTAAAAGATGTTAAGCGAGCCTTACACCGTTGCAAAGTTTAAGGCAGCCTTTATTCCCCAAATTTTAAGCCTGGCATTATATTGCTCTGTGAGATATAAATTGTGTGTTGGGGACAATGCAAACTACAGGTTTCCTTATTTATATTGATTTCAAATAATCTTGAAGACAATTCAGTCTTGAATTCTAACCAAGGCAGATCCATGCCTTCATCTAGCTTCCCCCATTTGTACATCATGCAATTTAGATTTTAAAATATCATCATGGGAACTTCTTTATATTTTGCAGGGAAGAAAAATGAACTGGAACCTTTCATTTTGTTGAATCTTTTGCCAAATTCAACAGACAAATATTACACTTACAATGGATCTTTGTCAACTCCTCCATGCTCAGAAACAGTTGAATGGATTGTGTTCAAAGACACTGTTAACATTTCAGAAAACCAGGTGATTTATATACATGTCTGAATGAAAGAGTTGGTCCTAATGGTAAAGAAAAATGATATGCAGCCAGCATCAGTCAACAAATCTACATGATTAGAGTGAAACAAGGACAGAGTTTCCTCAAAAAATAAACAGTTGTGGTATCTATATCTACACCAGCTTTAGGAAAAGCATGCTCTTTTCTGAACCAACAAAATATATTTGCTTGTTGGTGATTAGAGTATTATCTGTACCTACAAACTGACTTTGTGATACTATGGACTATATCTATAATAATGTTGACCAATAACAAATATTTTGTTAAGGCTCAGAATGAACTTCAAATTTTACAGTGTGCTACCTTGTGTCTTCTCTTTCTCTTCTCCTATCAAGTACCACCTTTTATTTCTATTGTGGTTTAAATGCCATTTTGATGTACATCTGAATTCTTTTATTGACAAAAAGAATGACAAAATGAGGTTCTGAGTATGTTTCTTTTAAACAATTGCTTGGAGATTAAAATGAAATGGGGAGGGTGGCATCAAAGTGAAAATCCCTGCACAATACATTGGAGTTTCTTTAGAACTATAGTGACAAAAGAAGAGAAAAGAGTCCATTGGAATGGAAGATATGGAAAGAGTTTAATAAGAAAGTCAGCAACCTTGATATACTTGTCTAGAAAGATTCATTTTTTATTTTTTTAAATGTTTATCTGAACAATTTATGAACTCTCTAGTTCTAAAGAACTTTGTTCTGCTGAACAAAAAGATTATATAGGAAGAATCAGGCAACGTAACATTAACCTCAACGTACATGTTTCTCTTCTTTTGTCACTATAGTTCTAAAGAAACTCCAATGTATTGTGCAGGGATTTTAACTTTGATGCCAGCCTACCCATTTCATTTTAATCTTCACGCAATTGTTTTAAAGAAAGATACT